TTCGGTGCGGAAGATTTGTATTTTTTTTTATAACATTTTATAACTGTAAGGGGTCTGCTGTATTGTTGGGATGTTGATGGCTGGGATGCCGTGCACCATATGGAGACAAGTTAATTAATTCCAGGCTGAGCTACTCAACTTTATCCATCTGCCATTTAGCCCAAGATGTTCCCACATTACCTCCTATTTATTTTCACTATTCGGTATCAAATAAAAAAAAAACTAATATAACTTCGGTTGCTTGCTGCAACTATTTTCCAAGCAAAGTAAGTGCCTTTTACATGTGTAAAGTTACTTTTAGGGATAGCGCATTCATCATGCACTTGACACAGCTAGCTCACTACTACTAAACGAGACCATCCAGGATGACTTTTCGAGTTGTTGTGCCAAACAATAAACAGGTAAGAAGAAACCGTATTTTATCGGCATTTTATTATTGAACACAATATATAAAACATTATTACACCATCACGTGCCAAGTTTAAGAATCGTCCACACAAGCTGAAGTCTTCGGCATTTTGTGGGTGAAACGAGGTGAAGCGCGAGGTGACAAGCGTGCCGTTTGCGTGACTGTGAGTGAACGCGATGTCAGGAGCCACAGGCCCCCGCGGTGTGTGCGGATGAGAATTGTATATGATTGTCCGCATTTTAAACAAGTGGCAATCAAATAAGTAATGAAATATCTAGATTAGAATATGGCAATTCCGCCTTTATTAATAGAAGCATTTAAGAAAAAAATAAATAAAAGAAATCGCGAATAATGAAATTGAAACGCCGAAATAGTCTGGCCAAGCCGAACCGCCCTATTTGTAAACTGTGGGTTTTTCTCCCTGGAAGTGTTTCCTCTGTACATGTGAGGGTCTAAGGACAGAGGGTGGTTGTGTTGTCCATATTGATATTCTGTACAAAACTGTGAAGTCCCACTGAGACAGAATTTTAAACATTTGTGATAAGTGGGCCTATGCTATAAATATAAGCATTGATGATTGATTGATGATTGATTGATTGATTGATT